TATCTCAGCCTGACTGAAAGGTCTCTCTGAACTTGCCTTCTGCAGGACCCAGAAAGGCCCATCAAGTTTATCGGCATTTTGGGAAGGCTCCTGGCACCCCCCACAGCCACACTAAGTGAGTATTTTAGACCATTAGGTTTTCTTCTGGCCATTTTGCTGTTAAATATTTTGTCTCTGATTTTCAAAGACATATGGTGGTTCAAAATGATGACCACTTTTTAAAAGACTTCATTTGAGCTGAATTTGTGCTTTTGCTCATTACTTACTCTTCTGCACTAGCACTTTTGGTTTCTAAGTATACAGTTAGTCCTTGACTTATGACCACAATTGAGCCCCAAATTTCCCTTGCTAAGTGAGACAGTTGTTAAGTGAGTTTTGCCCCATTTTATGACCTTTCTTGCCACATCTGTTAAGTGAATCACTGCAGTTGTTAAGTAAGTAACATGGTTGCTAAGTGAATCTGGCTTCCCCATTGTTGTCCCCAATTCGGGTCTGAGCCTGGTGCCAAAGCCAATGATGGACGCCAGACACGAGGCGCAGGTTTTCTGATTGCTTTTTATTGGAGTACTCCAAGGAAAACAGTCAAAAGGCAAAGAAAAAAGGATTAAATAAGCTTTGTACATTTTCACTAAAGGAGAAGGCGGGACAAGGTGAGATGACAAGAAATATCTAATAAACATTTTATTAATAATTCTACAATTTGTTATATTGGTCTCTAGCTGTCCCTATTCCTAAGCCTTGGCTAATGAATGCCCCAGGAGTTATCTAATACACATTTCATTTGCTGTAGGCCATCCCTAACTTTTAGCTGAGGTCTGCAAGTTGTCTAACTACCCATAATTGCTACAAGCTTTACACATGCATATTTCCTGTTGATAAGTATTCTTTATTCTTGCCAGACAGACCCCCAGAATTACAGTCTTCCTGATTTACTTTCAAGTGTGTGCCATGACCTTGCTTTAGCAGCCAGCCCATCACCATTGACTTTGATGGTCACTGTCACAAAAGGGGATCACAGGACCCTCATAAATACCTGCCAGTTGCCAAGCATCCAAATTGTGATCATTTGACGATGGGGATGTTGCAATGGTGATGTGAAAACTGGTCATAAGTCACTTTTTTCAGTGCCGTTATAACTGAACGGTCACTAAACAAATGGTTGTAAGTCAAGAAGTGTCTTCAGGCCATGCAGCAGCCAGTGCCTTGGGGGGCAGGGGGGAGGAAGGAAACTATATCAGAGTCTTTCCCTGTGTATCTGCGAACTTCATGGTACTTCTGGAACAGTCTCAAACAGTAGGGTTGTTTCAAGGAGGGATGCTTTGTGAAGTACTATTTTATGATTTTCAAGGAAATCTGAATGCACGTAACGCTCCGAGTCCAATGGTTGTCTTGGAACCTAATGCTCCAGGATGATGCTTTGTAATTGGAAGGCATTTTCAAAGTTTCCCTGAATGATTAAATATACTGGGAAGATTTGAGAAAGTGCACGAGTTGACTCCAGTAGAAGGTTATTTCTTAGGTCTTGGATATACAGGTAGTATTCCACTTACAACCAGTTGCTGAATGACCATTTGAAATTATAAGTTTGTAAAGCACTTCTGATTGTCAAAAGATGTTGCTCCAATACACGTAGGGTCATGTGACTGCATTTCAGGTGCTTGGCAATCAGTTTGCCTTTACAACTGGTTGCACTGTTCCAGTCACACGACCATGATTTGCTATATTTTTAGCCAGTTTCTGGCCAAAAAAGAAGCCCATTCAGAAGAATGGCTTCACACTTGTGATCAAAAGGCTTGCATAACCGCTGCAGGTTCACTTAATGATTGTCACAAAAAGATGTTGTAAAATCGTGTCCAGTCACTTGGGCACTTCAACCATCCTAATGACTTAATCTTTATGGAGATTCTCAGTCATCCAGGTCATGGTTGTCCCAAAGGTGCTTTTTTCAAGAGGCAACTGGACTTTCTGGTTTTTCTTTGAAGACTTCCACTTCACTTCTTCAGCTCTAACTGGATGGTGGGGAATGGAAGGATTTATACTCCTTGCCGACAGCTGTTCATTTTGCATTCTTTTAGCGGTTGAGGTCATCTGGAGGTTTTTCTGTGTCATCAGGGTCACCTGAGTGGTTCAAATTGGTGTGGAGCAGGGGTGGGTTTCAAAATTTTTACTACCGGTTCTATAGGTGTGGCTTGTTGGTCATGTGACTGGGTGGGCATGGCCAACTTGCCGTCACTCATGTCAAGGGGCGCCTTGCCTGGCCTCTCCTCGCCTCAAAGGCCTCAACGTGATACAATTTCTCTGTCTATTTATTTACTACTTGTGAACATCCAAAATATGCTATTTAATCCTATGTATATATGCCATATGTGTACATACATATTACATAGTATAGAGAGTGTATGGGCACACAAAAAGATACATTATCTGCTATATATACTGTATGTGTATGTACACACATACAGAGCTCTTCTAAAACTATACACATTCAAGCTCACTTACTGCATTTGGAAAATCACACCCAGAGTCCACTTTCTGCCACACATTTAACTATAACTTCTGTAGATTAGAAAATTACAC